GTGTGTGTGTGTGTGTCACTGAAGCGGTGACAAGTATGTCGCTGTGTCGCCCAGCGAGGAACTTGTCTCCTCCAGGGGGAAGATTAGAGGGAGAGACATGAGGAGCAAAACACAGACAGACTTATGTCCTTTGTGGCTTTTTTTTATTTTTTAAAGCTTCAATTTGATTTGTATGGTTAAGTAAAGTTTCATGCTGAGTTTAAGGAGAGAAAAATAGGTTTTCGCTCATAGTTTTTTGTTTTGTATCTTTCGACTGTGAAGGTGTGATTACTGTAAATAACTGAATCAAGATGTGTGAGTGCTGATCTTCAAGTAAAAAGAACAATACATCAGCAAAATTCACACTTTTTTTTTAAAATTTATTAATCAGCCTTCGTTGTACATAGAAGCATATGATATGATCATATGATCAACATTACACCTGCAGAAACAATCAATCCACCTTTTCCTAGAGTTCCTACTGGTGTTTTAAGTCACAGGATGTTATCATATATGTAGAAATTTAGCTGAGATATTTGTATTATAAGGTTATAAGCTATAAGGTTCAGTGTCTATTCTCTGTCATGCAACACAACAGTAACATCAGGCTCCTGCAAGGTGACCTTTTCTATTGTATATGAGCCACAAACAAGGTGCTTTACAGTTGTTGTAGCCATATGTGTATTTCTTCCTTTTTTATGAAGAATCCAACATTATCCACCCTAAACGAAAGCTGACCCAGTTTACTGGGCTGCAATATTATTTGTTACAGTCGGGTTTAATTTGGAAGATTATACTGACTTTAATATTGATTAGGTGAGCAGGTTAGTCTTCAAAATAATATTTTTTTTATTGAGATAAATATACTGTTAGGTGGAACAGATAATGGCAGCAGAGGTTTTTTATTCGAGTTTAATCACCAATAGTGTCAAGACATTCAAACGGATGTCTTTGAGTTTTCCTCAAAGGGCCAGTAATAAAAGAAAGCTCGCAAATTATTCACAACAAAAAGAACATGTATTATCATTCTCCTCCCTTGCATGTCTTGTGATTTTTCAACAAATGCTTCAGACTGTTTATCTTGTCACGTGGTCTGTCTGCAGCAACGTCCGTGGCTGCCACACAAGTATCAGCAGTGACCAGCGACTCAGCCGGCTCCTCGTACTCCATCAGTGGCATTCTGGGTATCAGCTCAGCTGCTGACGTTGGCAAGAGGAAGAGGGACGAAGGTGAGAAAAAGAATATGTGCGAGTGTTTATCTGCGTCACTGTATTTTTTTGGGTGGTAATTTTTCAAGTGCACATATACAAATACACAGCACACATAAACACATTATATGATGATGGACAGCCTCAGGACCACCTCCTTACCCTACCAGCATGGAAAGCCCAGATGGAAAAAAAAAACTCAGCACAGGAGGATCAATGACAGATGTGTGTGAGTGTGTGCATATGGGACTTCTAAACCAAACATCTTCATTCAGAAACCCTGATTTGTTTACTAACACTACTTCACTGGAGAGCTACCTGAGAAGTCAGTTTGTGCATGCACTATTGATCATATACACTGTCATACTGGATCAATGTCGTATGCATGTTAATAGCAGTGTGAGCTTGTGTGTGTGCACATAAGGATGCTTTCACATGTGCTGTAGGTATATGTTTGGGTGCATACATGTGTGCATGTTTGTGAGTGTGTATGTGGCTGTGTCAGTGGCATTAAAAAGCCATCACACAGACAGTCTCCTGCGGTAAATGAGACAGGACCAGATGTCGGAGCGAGGGGGGGTGACAGAACGCCACTGGGGGCTATTTCTTGCTCTCTCTCTCTAACACACACACACACACAGATACAGTATGGGGTCCTTTTCCCACTGCTGATGAATTTCCAAAACATTCCAGCAGGTTCCAGGATGAATCCCAGGTGCACCTTGAGCGTTCAGATATGCTCAGATACAGCCCACTTACCCATCAGCAGAGCACAAAGACTTTAGACCTGACACACACTCACACACAGTACAGGTGAATAATGATGACGTTTGCTGTAGAGACCTCGGCTTTCTCCATACGAGGGTATGGTTAGTTTGTGGTGTCAGATTGTACACACATTGAATGGAGGTTTACTTTGTTTTGTGAGTTTGTAATGCGGAAAAAAGTGGAAAGGTCAGAAATTTGATTTAAAAAAATCTAAATATTACGAATGTTTTTATGCTTGGCTGAAGTGGAAATGTTGGTTTATTGATAAAAAAAACAAAATGAGACAAAGACAAAAACATCGATTTGTGTGGACCCATTAGGACACTGTATTCTTCCTCAAATTGATGCATGAAATAAACTTAAATGCTATATTTTTGGCGTTTTTTTAATTTCATCATCTCGTTGCACCCTCTCCTGCAATGGTTTAATGGCAAACCGACTGAAGAATTAACGCCACCACAGTTTATCTCGATGCTCCCAATTCCTAACACTTACATGAAGTGGATAGAAACATGCAGTGATTTCCATTTGCAGATTTTCCAGAAATTCTATTAAAATTTGCACTAAATGTGGATGGAAACTTGACCATAGTGGCCACTCTTGAATGACATCAGAGCACCTCACAGAATTACAAGTGTAACTAACTAAGGATGGCTCTGTTTTATTCAGGTGTTCTTGTTACTGCTGGTTCACTGACATGGCTTACCGGAGAGTGGAGACATTGCTAATGTTATTACCAGTGATTACAACTGTGCTTTTCCAGCTATAACAAGTCAAAATGTATCAGGGGTCTATTTTTTCTTATGAAGCCATATTTCATGGACAAGAATAATATGAATCATGTATAATTACACAAATATGTCACTATTATGTGTGCTCTGACGTCTGTGGAAAAGACTGTGGTTAAAACTGTAGTTAAAGTCGAAACTCTGTAATCTAATTAGCAGTATTACTGTTTCACTTTGTTCTTTATGTGCATGACGTGCTACAACATGTGCTACATGTGTGGTCTGTCTGTTGTTTTACTATGACTGGACCTTGTGTTTCATAATTCATAGCGAAAACATTGTATTGCTTCACGTTTCACTGAAGCATCCAGAAACCGGCAATCAAGCATTGTGGGGCTCAGCATCACGTTTTATCTGCAGTGTTTCTGTGGCAGAGGTCTGCGCGGTTGGCTCTGTGGTCTAATTAACAGCATTGCTAATCACAGCTTCCATTAGAGCAGCCCCCGCTGGATAATGACACACACACACAGCAAGGGGCGACAGGGGGAACAGCATGCACTGACATGGACAGGCGAACACATACACAGATACACAATAATGCAAGCTTCTTACACACAAACACACACTCACACCCATATGCTTCGGTCGGTATGAACATTTGTACAGGGAAGGAAAAAGACATAAACATACACAAGTCACCCCCGTACACAAGCCCAACAATCACACAGCTTCAAGTCAACTTCTCTTGTTGACTTTGTCTTTATACCTATCTCTCAGTATGAATGAATATGTTACAAATGCCGCAGTCAGGCAAGATTCAAACATTTACTGTCCATGTATGAAGAAAAGACTCTAATGACCTGATAAAAAAGAGTAAGCAATGTTTTTTGTTTTCCCAAAATAAATTCTGGGAAAATGGAGCACTCCAGCGATAAACATACAGAAGAATCACCCCATGCCCAGTTTTATTTTGAATTTACATGTGAAATGATCCAGATGTGATTCGTCTGTCATAGTAGGGAAAGCACAGCTACAATTAATGTTAAAGATGGCAGAATCCCATTTAGTTTTTCCTGTTCCATGACTGTGATATGGTGCATAATGCCTCTCTGATATGGTGTCCCCGGACACTTGGAACTGAGCTATTGTTGGTGGTATTAGTGCCACCTGTACCCTACTTGTGTTTCATTGAGTCAAAATGTCTTCTGAAAAAAAATTCCATTTAGAGGCAGAGAAACTGAAATTCAATGCAGGAAAAGAGCACCTGTTTCCTCTTACAGACTCAAAGTGGAGTTAACACTGGCTTATCCATTCAGGTGAATAATATTATATCTTGCTGCTGCTGCTGATGTGCCATTGAGCATGCTGCAGATTTGCTTTTGTTATTGTAATATTATGAAATTGATTAAAATGATCATATCACATTATATAAGATATTGACGTATATAAATATGAACACGTGTGCAGGAAACCGTTAATCTCTAACTTACAAGCACAGAAATGGCAGCTGTGCAGTGATGGGAACTCAGGAAGGCGGGATCATGTCATGTGTGTTTCTGTGTGTGTGTCGGCAGGAGGAGTGTGTGGGGGTAAAGCCCTGTGGTGACCTGTGCCCCCAGCCAAAGTGAGGGGAAGTGGGGGGTGAATGGGGGCAAAATGTAGATGAATGGGAGTGAATGGAAGAACTTGACTTGTGGGGCCAAAAGGGGACTATTGTATCTTAACCTATTCTCTTATACACAGAGGCTGTGTGTGTGTGTGTGT